TTTCCCTCACCCACCCACTCCTGTTGATCCTCTCTCTACATATTAACACATCAAACATTTCTGGCGGTCGAGCAGATATTAATTTTCCAAAGTAAAAACAGCACAGGAGGTACAAGAACATATTGTACACAGGAGAGCTTTGAGTACAGTTTAAATGCAGCCAATTTCTATGAAGTGGGTCAAAACCAGTCACGTTGTTAAAGGGTACATTTTACACTGAAAAAAAAAATAAAATCAAAGGGTTCTTTTCAAAGCAGTTTGTTGCAGAGAGAAAAAGTACCTCGTCTTCCTAAAGGGCTGGAGAGTCTCTTTTGTCTACTGTTGCCGAAGTTAACTGTGGTTAGTTTTGGCATGTTGCTGTTTAAGCTTCATGGCTGGCGCACAGTTATCACTAATTAAACACAGTGGTCATACCAGTGGAAAATTCAACAGTTTAGTTTATGCTGCTGTAAAAATGTAATGAAATGTACTCTTTCGGGCTTGATTTAGAAAAATCACCACTGACGTCAATTCCATAAATTAGTAATCCTATGTTAGACCAAGGTCATTTTCATATTAAAAAAAGAAAACACTAAATCTGAGTTCAAATAACGTTAACAGACTGCTCTCAGCTCCAGACAAAGACAGGAATTTGCAGTGGAGGTTAAATCTTTGTTCTTGACAAAGAAGAATTGATAAGCCTTGCTAAAATTACAGCATGCAGTATGAAAGCTTCCTACTGCAACCATGTAGATATAATCATGATCAATAATCCTAACACAGTCTTACCCAAGCCATTGTGAGGCTTTATAAATGAAGTTGTTTCGAAGCGAACTGCTAGGTCTAGCAGTACACGATTAATTTTGCAGTAAAGGCCTCTTTTGGGGCAGAAAATCTAATTCATCACAAATCATTCTGCAACTTTTTTGATTGACAAAATAACCAATGGAACTAAACCAAATTCAAGGGCATTTGGACCCAGCCTTAGGAGCAAAAGGTTGGTAATTTCACCTGGTCCTGCATACTTTTAATGTATTTTTATAGAAATACTGAAAAATGCTGACTCTTCAAAGCAAAAAAAAAAAAAAAGAAAAAAGGTGGGATTATGTATTGTAGGTACCTGTGACAGCAAGGAGTGGGACTCAAGTGGGACACATAGATCCCTGCTGGTCCTGTTTCTTCTGTTATCTCCTTGCCATGGAGAAATACATCAACAAAAAGACTGCAATTGTTTATTCATACTGGAATGCTGTTCATGATTTACCTCCTCAGTCATTTCAGCTGTGATGGTCTACTGTATAAATATGTATTAGGACAAATTGGAATAGCTATTTTATTTATGAAATAGACCATAAAGACTCCTGTGGAGTTTTTGACACCACACCTTGTAATGTGTATTATATCAAGCTGCACTGTGCAACAGTTATGAGGAAAGTACTCTATGGATATGCATTTTTTACAGAAAAGCTAATGAAATTCTATTATGCGTGTTCTGTAGCTAGTTTTCAAAAGTTAATAATGTGTTCTGTTTGATTTAGGGCTTAATTCAGCATATGGGCTAATTGCATTCAAAGTTTCATTTTATTTTTAAAAAGCTGAGATCTTTTTGAATTATAGATGTGCAACCAGAACACCCTTAACTGGTAAACTTGTATTTTTTCCTCCCTCTCCTTACTTAAAAAGCGCCCAAACCAATTTTAGTTATAATTTAAAGTATATTTTTCTTGGCCACTCTTAACTACCTACAAGCCCAGAAGAGTGTGACCAGACATCTGGACATCTTGGACTTCAATTGACTGCTCTGATCTCCTGAAAAAATAAAACAAGCTATTCCGTGAGCACCAGAGCTAACAGAGCCTGGTTTCCTATGGATTTGTGTCCCATTTCCTTTATATCCCAACAAATAATAAACCCAGCTAGAGACAATATATCCTGTGGCTGCTCTGGAGCTACAAGTGTGCTAATTGCCCAGCCAATAGGCTCATGCTCTCTGGCTGGTCAGGATGTGTGTGCTGACTGTCTGTCTGGCTTCCATCAAGCAGTATATATATCTTGCCTTTCTAGAAAGGCTAAATACTGTCTAGGGGGCTGGGGGCATTGGGTGGAAGGCAGAAAGGTACTTTTTGGCAACCACTTATTTCAATAAGTGGTTCTTACCTTTATTCAGTATACTACTTACTAGAAATGAGTTGTCGTTCAGATTTTTATCCCTCCATATTGGCCAAAACAGGTTGTGATTTCATAAAGTTGTTGTTTTTTTTCTCTTTAAGAGAGTATTTTGAAACTCGGGGAATGCTAAAATGTCCTTTTCTTTACTGTTGCTTTTTCTGCTTTCTTTTTTGTACAGATAAATATGTTTTCAAAAACGTTGCTCCTTGCCCACATTTACCTTCCCCGTTACCTTTTCTAGCAAAAGTCACTATTTCATTTGAATTGGGTGCATGATTTATAAATGC